CCCTCTGTTCACAACCTGCCCGTCTGTCACGTGAGACCGCTGGTTCATCACCCCGCTGAATGTACCATCACCACCACCACCACCACTTCCCGCATTGGTCATGTGACCTCACAAGCGCCCGTGTTCATATTTACATGTCACTCAATTGTACACGACACAACTTGGTTGAGCGGTCTAGTAAACGGTTGTGCCTTCCCCACTCCGGTCTTCTATATTTGCGCGGGAACGCAGGGTAACGTATTCGGCCTAGATAATCGCATTGGCCCCGGCATGGTTCAAGACAACATGCCGGGGCCCTCAACAGGGTCTATGTGGGTGAAGGGGAAGTCGCGGGTTGCCAAAAGTTGTCGGAGTGGAGGGGGTTGGGCGTGGGTTGGGGTACCGTGGGGAAGCTGATGAGGAATGGCGAGGGTAATCGTGTGTGGTGTGTAGGGATCGGGTAGGATATGGGTGGGTGTGAGAGGAATTGTGGGATTGGGACGACTGGGCACGCTCGACGATATCCCAAACTTCATCCAAGGACCCAGGGACTTTGCCGCCAAATTGTTGGCACAGGCTAGGGTCTCGATTCCCCGTTACAAGGCGGGGTAGTAGAGGTGCATTCGCTCCGTCCGAGGGATACGCCTGTCGAGCGAGGCGTGAGAGTTTGTTAAAACATTCTTCGAACGATTCCCGGGTGCTTGGGTTCGTTCGAAAAATTTGAATAGGACTTCACTGGGGTGGAGGCCTGAGCCGAAAAGGGGCTCCAAGGCATCCAGAATGACTCCAGGTTGGGAGTCGCCTGGGATTCTCTTAAGGAGCTCCTTGCGAACATCTGTGGCCAACGCTATGAGGATACACCTACCTCTATGCTCGGGGGGAATAAGGGGTAAATGGAGATCAATGAGCGTGCGCCATTGGGAGAAGTTATCGCGAAAATGGAGAGTGGGCAGTTGAGTAGGGGGTAGGTTTGTGTAAGGGTATGGGTTGGGTGTTTGTGTGGGTGTGGGGTTGGGTGGTAGGTTGTAAGAATAAGTTGGAGTAGAAGGGGGATGGTCTTCAACGAGGGATGACGCGGAGTCGTCGGCAGGGGTGGAATTCAGGTCGCGTTTCTACGCCGTTTGCCCATGGTGTGGAGAGATTTGGGAGAGTTAAGGTGACTGAGAGTGCGGGTTTGAAACACTAGTAGTATGTGCGTCTACTAGTGGGTATGCTGCCACCAAAATGTAACGTGCGAGCTAGGCTCGGACCTAGGAAGAGAGATAGACTAGAGACGGCTTTGCGCAAGACATTCGATCCAGTCAGGCACTAGACGCAGAATTCGAGAAGGAGAGAGAATAGGACCAGAAGACTTTATTCGAGACACGGCTTACAAGACGAAAAGGGGAGAAAGAGCGTAAACAGAGCGATATTGTTCGTGAGACGATGGATAATCCATACGCTAGTTATTGGACAGGCCTAAAAAGGTAAAAATAAGGGAAAAAGTTACCAGGTATGAACAGAGCTCACTGTCATGGCGTGTGGCGTGCGTGACAAATGCTCCTCACAACCGTAAGTAACGTGATGCCGCCCCACGGCGCGCCACTGTCTCTCGACCAATGGCTGGACGCCAAGATGGCGTCCTTCTGTCCACGCTACTCGCGCACAGCCGCCCATACGCCCTCGTATTACGTCTAAGCAAGCCACATTAAGAGAACGTAGAGCAGGGTGTTCGCCTGAGATGGTACACGAGGACCTCGTACAGACAAAGAGGAATAAATCCGTTAGCCCCTCCGACAAAGTCCTTCGGCTCTGGGAGTTAGGGCAGCGAAAGTTACGCTACGGGGAGACCATTCAATGCTTTGTGGACGAATTGTACGATATGGTCTCCAATGTATATCGGGACAAGTCCGTGGAGGAGATTAAGCAGAAAACGGTGAAATATGTCATATTGAGCCTCACGGGAGACGAGGTCCGACGTTATGGACACCTCATCGACCGCCCCTTGGAGGAAGTCGAGGAAATCCTTTCTCGGGATCCAAATTTGACCCGCACTCCTCCGGTCGGTAGCCGCCAGCGGACATGGCAGCCGCGAGGAGGTCACAGATCCCAGGTTACGAGAGGCCCAACTGGACACAGACCCCATCAACCGTCATCAAAACAATGGAGCAATTCAGGTGCGTCAGTTCCATGCCTCGCAGTTTATGCATCATGTCTAGGCAGTAGGCCCTTTATATCCGTTGGTTTATGCAACAGATTGATGCATTTTTTGGTCGATACGGGGGCCAGGTTGCTCTGTTAATCCTCGCCAAATTCCTAAGCATGCAGTCGATCAGAGTTAGGGCCGCTAATGGCACCTCGATGCGCAGCGACGGTTGTGTGGATGTGCGTCTTGTGATAGCAGGATGCGAGTATCATCACACTCTGCATCTGCGCACAGATGTCTCATTTGACGGAATATGGAATCCGACTTTCTAGATCGTTTCGCGGGGTTGCTTACGCTTAGGTTCGCATGAGGTGCCCGTTGCGTACGAAGAGAACAAGGGCGTCATTGCAGCAGTTACGCCTCTAGTACACTCGACTACCGGAGAGGAAGACCTCTTGGTAGGCGCAAACGCACTCACAGAAGATTCAGATAGGTCGCAGCTTCTCAGACTGATTAGAGAATTTGCGGATGTTTCCGCTTGGGATGGGTACGGCCCAGGCCGTACGAGTGTCACCCGTCATGACATTCATACAACAGAAACCCACCCCATTAGACAACGGCCCCGTCGAATACCTATGGCACATCAGCAGGCAGTCGAAGAGGCTATTGAAGAGATGCTACAGAAGCTAATAATGAAACCCTCCGCTTCAACGTGGGTATCACCCATCATGGTAGTCAAGAAGAAGAACGATTCTATTAGGTTATGCGTGTATTACCGCAAGCTTAACGAAGTTACGGTAAAATATAGTCTTCCCATCCTGCGTATGGATGAGACGCTTGACACATTGGGCCGGTCGACTATATTTTCCACCTTGGACGTAAAGTCGGACTGTTGGCAAGTCGAGGTCGACCCAGCTCACCGCCAGAAATCAGCATTCGTAAATCCGTCCGGGCTCTATGAGTTCGAAACCATGCCTTTTGGACTGGCAAATGCCCCAGCGACATTTCAAAGACTAATGAACACTGTCTTGCAGGGGCTAATACCGAATAAGTACCTTGTGTATATGGACGAGATGATAGTTCATGCGAAGGACGGTGCTCAACACCTTAAGCGTCTTCGAAATGTCTTCGAGCGGCTTCGCGGGCCAGGGCTGAAGCTTAACCCGGCCAGGTGCTCGCTCCTCAGGGATTCGGTTAAATTTCTGATCCACATTGTCTCGAACGAGGGTATTCGAACGGACGCGGATAAGACGAATAAGGTTAAAACGTGGCCGACCCAACTAACGAAGAGGAATTTTATAGTTTCAAGTAATGGCGACTTATTATCGAAGACTTGTTAGGGACTAGGGGCATATTTCTTCTCCACGATGCAAGTTAACGGAGTCAAAGCCTAGGTGGGGGTGGACGGAGCAGTGACAACAGGGGTTCTCTGAACCCAAAAACCGACTAGCGGAAGCCCCGAATCTTACCTTTCCTAATTTCGAGAATGACAACTCCCCTCTTATTTGGGACACCTATGCGTCAAGTAGGGCAATTGGGACGGTGCTTTCACAGGTACAACCTGGCGGTTCTGAACACCCCGTTGCGTTCGGCAGCGGGGCTTTATCGAAAGCCGAACGAAAGTGTAGTACCACCAAACGAGAACTGCTAGCCCTAAAGTATTTCCTCGGTGCTTAGCGAGGCCACGTGCGTAGTTCGCGACCCTGCTGATCCCCCCGGTCGTGGTTTCACAGTACATTTTAACAAACTGAAGCCGTATCGACCAGAGGAGGAAGATGAGGACGAGCCCCTTGTGTACTGCGAGCCACTCCCAATTGACAACACCGTTGAAATCGCTGCGGTGGAGGGTGACGACAAGCTGGGGACAGCTTCACTCTTGAGGGGGGGGCAGAGTAGTGTGGGGGCAGGGGGACGCCATCTTGGCATCCAGCCATTGGTTGAGGGCCAGTGGCGCGCCGTGGGGGCGGCATCACGTGATTTCCGGTTGCCAGGAGTATTTAAGTTTCAAATGGGGCGCCAAAGCCCAGATAGCCAATCACCTCACGAGGTTGTCTTTCTATTTCTAGAAGCCAAGCAGGAGCCAATGAGCGGACAGGAGCAGCCTGAACCCAGTATATTAGAAACCCCTTGTGAACACTAGAACCGGAACCCTGACGTTGGAGGCTGTTGTTGTGTTTTCTGTCAATATACCCGTATAACTGTCCATTAGTCCTCTTATTATGCCCAGGCGCGCTACAGATGGTGCACCCTCAGTGTACGAGCTGGAGGAAGATTTCGATGCATGGCTTGAGAAGGTTGAAGATATCCTGTGTGGGGTGGAGTCCGGTCGCCGCTCAATTTGCCTCACGAGGCTCATGTCCAAGCCAGCGGCAATAAGGGCACGCAGAGCAGGCTGCAAGCCGGACATGCCCTACGAAAGTCTCGTGCAAAAATTAAGGGATACCTTTGTTGACCCTTCCGACAGAGCCCTGCGGTTCCATGAGTTGTGGCATCGGAGGTTCCGCTATGGGGAGACACTTAAGGGCTATGTGGGCACGTTATACGACATGGTCTCCAACGTATATCGGGGCGAGTCCGAGGAGGCGATTAAGCAGAAGACCGTCAAACATGTCATCATGGGCCTCACAACAGAGGAAGTTCGCCGGTATGGGTACCTCATGGACCGCCCCTTGGAGGAGGTGGAGGAAATTCTCGGCAAGGACCCCAATTTAAACGGCGCGTCTCCGGTCAGTAGCCACCAGCGGACATGGCAGCCGCGAGGAGGTCAAAAATTCCAGCCTACGAGAGGCTCGACAGTACGCAGACCCACGCAACACCCACCAAAGCCTCAGAGCGATTCAGGTGTGTCAGCTTCATGTCCTGCCATTTATGCTTCATGCTTAGGTAGTAGGCCCTTTATATCCGTAGGTTTATGCAATAGGTTGATGCACTTTTTGGTGGATACGGGAGCAGGTTGTTCTCTTGTGAATCCTCGCCGGTTTCCACGGCACGCGTTTGATCCGTTTCTTGTAACGTCTTCTATCAGAGTTCGGGCCGCTAGTGGCACATCGATGCGCAGCGATGGGTGTATAGATGTGCCTCTTGCGATAGCAGGAAGCGAATATCAGCACACTCTTTATCTGTGCACAGAAATGTCTTATGACGGAATACTTGGGTCCGATTTTCTAGATCGTTATGCGGGGGAATATAGCAGACCACGAGGTTGCCTACGCTTAGGTTCGCATGAGGTGCCCGTTGCGTACGAACAGAAAAACGGCGTCATTGCAGCAGTTACACCGCCGGTACACCCGACTGCGGAAGAGTTAGATATCTTGATAGGCACGAATGCACTCAATGAAGGTTCAGATAGATCGCAGTTTCGGAAGGTGATTGAAGAATTTGCAGATGTTTTCGCTTGGGATGGGGACGGCTCAGGCCGTACGAGTGTCATCCGTCATGACATTCACACAACAGAAACCCATCCCATTAGACAAAGGCCTCGTCGAATACCTGTGGCGTATCAGCAGGCAGTCGAGGAAGCTATTGAAGAGATGCTGCAGAAGCTAATAATAAAACCCTCCGTTTCTCCGTGGGCATCACCCATCGTGGTCGTCAAAAAGAAGGACGGCTCCATTAGGTTATGCGTAGATTATCGCAAGCTGAACGAAGTAACAGTAAAAGATAGTTTTCCCATCCCGCGTATGGATGTGACGCTTGACGCACTAGGTCGGTCGACCATCTTTTCTACCTTGGACCTAAAGTCGGGCTATTGGCAAGTCGAGATCAATCCGAATCGCCGTCAGAAGTCAGCATTCGTAATTCCGTCTGGGCTCTATGAGTTCGAAACCATGCCTTTTGGCCTGGCAAATGCCCAAGCGACATTTCAAAGACTAATGAACACTGTCTTGCAAGGGCTGACGCAAAAGGAGTGTCTCGTATGTATGGACGACGTGATAGTTCATGCAAAGGACAGTGCTCAACACCTTAAGCGTCTGCGAAATATCTTCGAGCGGCTTCGCGGGGCAGGGCTGAAGCTTAACCCGGCCAAGTGCTCACTTCTTAGGGACTCAGTGAAATTTCTGGGCCACATTGTCTCGAAAGAAGGTATCAGAACAGACCCAGATAAGACAGATAAGGTCATCTGGGTCTGCGGAGGAATTGCGTAGTTTCCTAGGATTAGCGACCTATTATCGTAGGTTTGTTAAAGATTTTGGGCATATTGCTTCCCC